TGTCGCACCAGCTCGATCCCTGCTTCCCCTGCTAACGATTACAGGTCCGTGATGGGGGTTGATGGGGCAGGAGATGTGCCGTTCCGAGAGGTGGTGGGGAGCCTGATGTGGATCGCCAACCAGACAAGGCCCGACATCTCGAATGCTGTGCGGGCGGTGGCAAGGCACTCTCACGAGCNAGATTCAATGTTTGTCGCACCAGCTCGATCCCTGCTTCCCCTGCTAACGATTACAGGTCCGTGATGGGGGTTGATGGGGCAGGAGATGTGCCGTTCCGAGAGGTGGTGGGGAGCCTGATGTGGATCGCCAACCAGACAAGGCCCGACATCTCGAATGCTGTGCGGGCGGTGGCAAGGCACTCTCACGAGGCAAAGAAAAGCCACTGGAAGGCGGCCCGGAAAATTCTAAATTATCTTCTGGGCACGGCACATCTAACTTTCAAGTACAAGCAGGACACTATGGTAGACGTAGGCACGTTGGTGTACGTAGACGCAAACTTCGCCAGTAAGGCCACTGACCGCAGATCAGTTTCTGGAGCACGAGTTCTTGTAGCTGACTGTCTTGTTGGTTGGATTTCTAGGACGCAGAGATGTGTTATACTTTCAACAACTGAAGCAGAGTATGTTGCGATGGGTGACGGCGTAAAAGAGGCTCTGTTTGTCAACGGAATGCTCGAGTTCTTGAGGCCTAGTGATAGAATCGGTATGATTCAGGTACGAGAGGACAACGAGGGTGCGATTGCACTTAATGAGAATCCGCTCAGTTCGTGTAACAGTAAGCACTTTGACGTGAGGCACCACTTTCTCAGGAATTTGACAGAGGAGGGGGGGGTGTACTCATAGTCGTGCATGTCGTAGTCGTTAGACCATTGACCTCGCATCCCTAAAAAGCCGGGACTGAGCACCACTTTCTCAGGAATTTGACAGAGGAGGGGGGGGTGTACTCATAGTCGTGCATGTCGTAGTCGTTAGACCATTGACCTCGCATCCCTAAAAAGCCGGGACTGAGCACCACTTTCTCAGGAATTTGACAGAGGAGGGGGGGGTGTACTCATAGTCGTGCATGTCGTAGTCGTTAGACCATTGACCTCGCATCCCTAAAAAGCCGGGACTGAGCACCACTTTCTCAGGAATTTGACAGAGGAGGGAGGGTTGGAAATCAGGCATGTCTCTAGCGAAGGACAGCATGCGGACATTCTGACGAAGGCGCTGCCGAGAGATCTTTTTGAAGTTCATCGTAATTTTGCTCTAGGCTCGAGATCTAAGAAGTAGAGTTCTGAGTTATGTTTTATTTTGGCTGTTTTTCTGATATACATTTGATCTGGTCGAGACACCAGCCCCAAGGGAGGGTGTTCGTGATAGTTGCTGCTGTGTGTGTCGACAGAGTGATGTAGAACAACTTGATTGCACAGTTTGAATTGCGGGACTGTCTGCGTTGAAGATCGTTGAGTAGCCACATATTATCAGAACAGCAAGGAACGTTCTGTGGGAATGTTCTTCGTGGATGTTGCATTACCCCGAGTGTGTGGCTTGTGGATAATGCATCAGTCAGAGGATTCATGGTACGTGTGAAGTACGTTAGCCCCTGTCTGTTGAGTCTTTGTGTTCCGATATCATTGTGTCCTGCTTTTGTGCGTTAGTCTAGCGACATGGGTGGTGCTGCGGTGCTGCTGTGCTGCAGTGTTAGCCCCACCCTCGCTCACTCTTGACCTGTTCTCCTGGTCCAAGGTCTCATCAATTCAACATATTTTCCCCAGAAGCCACGACTTTACCAACACGATGGCTAAGGCTGCGTGCACCGTTTGGTCTTAAATATATTCTTCTGTACTGGATTGTTGAGAACGTGTTCAAAACCCGGTAAGGAACACCCGCAACGAACCGAACGGCGTAAATGTTGTTGTTGTTGTTGTTTCTCACATTAGCTCTAAAAAAAAAAAAGATTGGGAGCCCGTGGTCTCAAAACCCGGCATACACGACCCCACGAAGAAACAGAAAAAAATAGGGTACAAAAACCACTCGGAAGA